TAATGTGGAACATAAGTCAGGCTGCATAAATCTTTAATGGCTTCCCACTGCTTATAGGAAACAGTTCAGCCTACTAGGCATAACCCTTTTGGGTGTCACATATCAGATATTTACATTACAATTCATAACAGTAGCAAAATTGCAGTTATGCAGTAGCAATGAAATAATTTTATGGTTGGGGGGTCACCATAGCATGAGGAACTGTATTAAAGGGTCGCAGCATCAGGAATGTTGGGAACCACTGCTGTAGACTGTCACAACCTATTTGATGCCAGTGGGCTCTAAAGAGTTGTCATTCATTTCCAGAATTCACTATGAACTTTTATGCCACCAGCTTTTCTGTATGCTGTGCCCTGCACTTCTTAGGATGCCCTGCCTTTCTCCTTCCCTTTTCTGTCTTTACATTTTTGTTTGCTTATTTTGAGTGCTAGAGATTGAACCCAGGTCCTGGTATAACCTTGGCAAAGGTTCTGCTCTTGAGCTACATTCCAGTCCTGCTTTTAAAATATTGAATATGTCTCCTGCCTCTAGGGGGTGCTGTTAAGCACATTAACTGTCTTACCAACTTCTTGCTTAACAAACATCTTCCTAAACTGAAATTGTTTTTGGACCCAAACACTTATCCTACTAGACTGTGTGTTTTAGGAACATGATGAAAGAATAGGAAAGAACCAAAACTCCTAAATCCAAAACTCCCCACCTAGGTGCTGGGAGCCTGCCTGGTGTACCTCATCCCTCTTGAATATCTATGTTCCAGTGCCTCTCTCCAACAGGTCCGGCTGACTCCTCCGTGTAGCTGTGGCTTCTACGATGGCCTCCTCATTCTTCTGCTTCAGCTCCTTACACAGGTACAGGTGTGCTGTGAGATAGGGGAGAAACAGAGAGAGGAACTGGGCGTATTTCAGAGCCACTGGAGGATAGAAGTGAAGAAGCAGCCCATGCTTGCCCATCCTCTTACACTGCTGTTAACCTTACTAGCCTGATCCCCACGCCCACCCTCACCCTCAGCAGGACCCCCTGAAGTGGGCTGTTAAACTGCACTCCCCCAGGGAGATAAACAGCTTCTCTGGGGTTGGACTTGAGGTTTGGGTTTATGGATTTTATTATTGTTGTTTAGATGAAAAATTTCTTCACAAAGATAGGAGAATCAAGAAGTTCCAGGACAGCCTTGGCAACATAGTGAGTTAGAAACTAGCCTGAGGGGGGCTGGAGAGATGGCTCAGTGGTTAAGAGCACTGACTGCTCTTCCAGAGGTCCTGAGTTCAATTCCCAGCAACCATATGGTGGCTCACAACCATCCGTTATGAGATCTGGTGCCCTCTTCTGGTGTGCAGATGTACATGGAAGCAGAATGTTGTATACATAATAAATAAATAAAATCTTGCTGGGCGTTGAAACTAGCCTGAGGTACATAGGTCCTGTCTCAACGAAAGTTTTTTAATAAGCCTGTACACAGCTTGGCCTTGACATGAGCCTATGTGAAGAGGATAATTTCCTGGTTTTCCATAGGTGCATACATCGGCTGAGAGACTGGGCTAAATCACGATAGGAGAGGAGCATAATCTGGGTGTGGTGGCGGAGTGACAATCCTAGGATTTGAGGCTGAGGCGAGAGGAGCTTAACTTCGAGGGTGGCCTGAATACATAATGAGACGCTATTTTCTAAAGAGGAGGAAGGGAAGGGAGGGAGGGAAGGAGAAAAGATAAAGGGGAAACAGGAAAAGAAAGGAAGAAAAATACAGAAATATTAGGTGGGGGGTGGAGGGGCAGGGAGAGAGAGCTGGGATTGACATGTGAAGCAAGCTTGTTTCTAAATTAAATTTTAAAAAAAGGGAAAAAATAAATAGAATTCAACAGTAAAAAGAAAAAATATTAGGAAGACAGAAGGAATGATTTCAGGCTCTGTTGCCCTATATGGTTAGGAACAGAAATGACAAAAGGCATTTGGACCCCTGACTTGTGCATATCCTCCTCTTAAACAGGGGAAACCTGGCCTGATCAGGGATGTGGCTGCTTCCGAGGTGTGGACCATTCTGTGGCACCGCTTTTCCATGGCCCTGAGGCTCCCTGAGGAGGTGACTGTACAGGAAGACGATCTATCACTGTCAAGTCCACCCAGCCTAGAGCCAGACTGGACACTGATTTCACCCCAAGGTGTCTTTCTCTTAGCACAGCTCTGTTGGTAGAGGTTTCTTTTCAAAAGGAGGCAGCTTAGAACTGAGTTAGCCCACAGATACTTGCTTCTACTGTGTGCAAGAGGGTGTCGGAGACTGTACTGGACCTGCTTACCAATGGGGGGCAGAAAGGATGGGATCCTTGGGTGATCAGGGGCATCTGGACATCTTGCTTGCTCACTAGGTCTGCATTCTCTGTTGTTTTCAGGCATGTCAGCCTTGCTGAGCCTGGCCATGGCCATCTTCACCCAGGAGCCCCAGCTGTGCCTGACCCATCTGTCCCAGCATGGAAGTATCCTCATGCTGACCCTGAAGCACTTGCTTTCCCCCAGTTTCTTGCATCACCTGAGCCAAGCGTGAGTCTGAACTAGACCAGGAGACTCAGAGTCAGAGCCAACAAGGAGAGGTGGAGGTGGGGGCAGGAGACAGATAGCTGACAGCTTGAGTTATAAGGCTAGACGTGGGGTAAGGACTAGGCTGGAAAGTTGCTGAGATTGGGAGAGTGGAGCTGGGGGAGGAAGTGTGAAGCGAGGGAGGGAAGCATCATATAAAGGGTAAGCCTGTTTTGCTCGCTTCCTAGGCCTCAGGGGCCCGAGTTTCTCCCTGTGGTGGTACTCTCTGTGTGCCAGTTGCTCTGCTTCCCTTTTGCCCTGGATGTGGATGCTGATCTCCTTGTGGGCATCTTGGCCGACCTCAGGGACTCGGAAGTTGCAGTCTACTTGCTGCAGGTACTTGGAGAAGTTATCCAGGCGTGATGGTGGGAAAGGAAGATGGTCAGTGTTGTATCCTCTGACTCACATCCCAATAGCTCTAGGACTCCCCTAGACCCTCAAAGAGTAGGGCATTTAGCTTGACCAACGTGTTGGAGTGGAGGCAGCCCTCAGACCCAGTTAAGCACTCAGCTGAAGCTGAGCTAAGATCTCCACTGTCCACTGGTCTCTTGTCTGGTTCTCTTGGAATTCAGTAGGGAGGCCAAGCACCGTAGCTCAGCTCCTTGGTCAGGAGTCACTGCCTTGGCACTCTTTGTCAATATGCCTTGGATCTTTGGAGGCAGAAACTGCGCCCTGGCAGAGCCAGGTGTCAGTGCCGAAAGGAACTGCTCTTGGGCTCCATATGGGTTTCTTATGTTGTGCTATGGGGTGAGGCTCTGCTGCCTGAGGCATTTCTCTTGCCCAGTTTTGGGGCTCTCGCTTCCCCATTGCAATGTATCTGTCCCTCTCTTTAACCCCTTTACCTGAACTCTGATTTCTCCCAGGTCTGCTGCCACCACCTTCCACTGTTACAAGCAGAGCTGCCCATTGGTCTCCTTACACGCCTGGCCCTCATGGATTCCACCTCTCTCAAGCAGTTTGTGGACACAGTGGCTACCTCTTCTAGAACCATCATCTCATTCCTCTCTATTGCTCTACTAAGTGATCAGCCCCGCATGATCTCTGACCTTCTGTCCCTGTTGACCCACACGGCCCGCGTGCTGTCCCCTAGCCACTTGTCTTTTATCCAGGAGCTCCTGTCTGGCTCTGACGAATCCTATCGGCCATTGCGAAACCTCTTGGGCCACTCAGAGAACACTGTGCGGGTTCGTACGTACAGGCTTCTGGGACACTTATTACAACACAGCATGGCCCTCCGTGGGGCACTACAGAGTCAGGCTGGACTGCTCAGCCTTTTGCTGCTAGGGCTTGGAGACAAGGACCCTGCCGTGAGACGCAGTGCCAGCTTTGCTGTGGGCAATGCAGCCTACCAGGCTGGTCCCTTGGGACCTGCCCTGGCAGCTGCAGTGCCCAGTATGACCCAGCTGCTTGGAGATCCTCAGGATGGTATCCGGCGCAATGCTGCATCAGCTCTGGGCAATCTGGGACCTGAAGGATTGGGCAAGGAACTATTACAGTGCCAAGTACCCCAGAGGCTCCTAGATATGGCATGTGGAGACCCTCAGCCGGCTGTCAAGGAGGCCGCCCTCATTGCCCTTCGGAGCCTCCGACAAGAGCCCTGTATTCATCAGGTAAAGCCATGATGACCAAAGGCCCCTGCAGTTCACAGCATTTCTCTAATATAATTTGTGAGGACCTAAGACACCTAGAAATGCAAAATATGTCCTTGTCTGGGTATAAGAAATTCAAAGACAGTATGTTGGAGATAGGTTTCCCATTTACCCTCTCCTACCTTAGAGAAGGGAAGGGATCTGGAAAGCTCCCCTGGCTAGGACATGCCTGAGATCCCAAGATCTCAGCTTATCTCTTCCAGACACAAAAAAGGAGGGACATGGGGAAAACCAGAAGATACTGAGGCCAAAAAGATGCCAACTGTATTTGCTGTTAGTACCTTGCTGAACATTTTACACCTTTATTATCTGGTTTAAACTATTATTACCCTCAGTTTGTGGGTGAACAAATGGAAGCATAAATAATTTAGTGACTTGTTAAAGTTACAATGCTACCAGGTGATTCTGGGTGTATAGCCTGTGCTCATCAAATACCATCTTATTTTGCTTCTTCGGCTTAATATTGAGTCTCTAAAGAACCCAGAGGGAATCACACATCAGAGTAGAATAGGTCAGTGTGGTAGCAGTAGAACCACAGGCATCTGACAGAGTGACTGCTGGCACTAAAAGAGTTTTCCACAATCCATATGGGGAAACAAGGAAAGAGACACTTGGTCAGAAATGAGGGACCCACTGGGAAGCAGATGTCAGCTTCTGGAGATAGGGTTTCTCTGTATTATTTTGGAGGCTGTCCTGGAACTAGCTCTGTAGACCAGGCTGGTCTCAAACTTACAGAGAGAGAGATCTGCCTGCCTCTGCCTCCCACATGCTGGGATTAAAGGTGTTCGCCACCAACGCCCAGCCTCTGACTGGTCACCTGGTGCATTGATTTTTATAGGTAGTACCAAAGAAAGTGTAAATGAATACCTGGATATTGATTCATAGCTCTTTGAGATTTCTTGTCTTGATCAGTCTATCCTGAATTCCTGAAAGGACCCTTTCCCTTTTCTTGGTTAAAGGGGAATCCCTTGCATGTTTCTCACTCTTACATCATATTCTGCCATTTGCTTTCTATCCCACAGGTGCTGGTGTCCCTGGGTGCCAGTGAGAAATTAGCCTTGCTCTCTTTGGGGAATCAGTTACTGCCGAATAGCGGCACCAGGCCTGCCTCTGCCAGACATTGCAGGAAACTCATCCACCTCCTGAGGCCAACCCACAGCACATGACCCCAGATTCCTGGGGCTCTTCTTCCAGCCTTCACTACCCTTCTGTTGCCAAGTCTTCCTCATTCTCCTGCCCAAGCTACTAACTCAGCTGAGAGCTGAAGAGACTGAAAAAGAGTGATAAGCTGCCAACTCCCCTGTGAGCAAGAAACTAGAAGAGATTTTATATTAAAGCTCCTTCCTTTCCCTAGATTCATGGAAATTTGAATCAGTAATCTTCTTCACTGTTGGTGCCAGAGAAAATCCTTTCCTTTCTACATACTCCAGTAATGTGCCTTTAACCCCGGAACCATGCCATACACCCAGGCCTCAGGAAAACATGTCTGCCCTGCTGGATCTCTTCCTTTCTGAACCTCCTGTGATCTGCCCAGATATTTTTGCCTTCTGTACACTGGTCTCTATTTCAGCTCTAGCCTGTGGTGTGTGTGCGTGTGTATGTGTGTGTGTTCTATTTGTAAACACCTACTAAAAAATGTGCCTTCTCCTACTTGAAGCTTCCAGGGTAAGGGGTTGGGAGGCTCAGACCCTCTTCTGGCTTCTCTGTGACACTGGAAGCCCTGTGACCCTGTGCACACAAGGTCCTGGTTTGGAGAATTGTTTATCCAAGGGCAAGGCCAATGGAGCTGATACAGAGAAGAGTAGATAGGACTAAAGAGGTAAGTCAGGGTGCTTTGAGATGATAATAAGTCATTCTCATATTTATGGTGTCAATGTGTATGGAATCCTAGCTGCTTTGGGAGAGCAGCTATTTATGGAGACTGTGGGATTTTCCAGGAAAGAGTGTTTGACAGCCCCATCAGTTAAAATCGAAAGTAACTGGACATTCCAATTTACCAAAAAGGGTGTTTGGTAGACATTAGTTAGAATCTAACTATGTGTATTAGGAAGGTTAACTGAGACAAACTTGCAGGGCCCAGATTTCTCCATCCAGTAAATGGGGGAAGACTCCTCTTGATGTGACTTAGTGGTGAGTGCTTGCTGCATATGTGTGAGGGTCTGGGTTCAGTCCCCAGCGGAAAGGGGAAGGGGAAGAAAGGTGCCCTTCTGTTCTTCCTTGATTAAAGTAAGAAATGAAAGATGAGTGTGATTAGCTGTATTTTATAAGGCATTTTATCATTATCCACTGTAGTTACACCTGAGCAAAAGTAAGATTCCTCTGAGACCCTCCTTAATTTCCTGCTCACCTTATTATTTTAATTCAACACACACACACACACACACACACACACACACACACACACACACACACACACACACATCCTGTTGAAGCACTAGAGATAGAGTTGAGCCTGCCACAGAGTTTCCATTCTGGTCAGAAAAATGAACTTCCTTAAATAAGCGCACTGAGGCTGCATGGGACAGCAACCACTAAAGAGGCTGAAGCAAGAGGGTCACATTCACAGGACCAGCCCCAACAACGTAACGAATGAGCCCATCTCACACAATGAGTTAATTAGGTAAACTATGTAGACAGGTGATTTTAAAAATGTGCTGGAATAGAAAAAAAAAAAAAGCAGAGAAAAGGGCTTAAGAAGTGCTAAGCTGATTGTTCATGCTCCATCCCGCCTGCCCTCAGTCCACTCATGAAATCTCTTCCCCTTCCCACAGATCTGGGTGTCCACCCATGAACCCTCCTTGTTACCTAGCTTCTCTGGGGCTGTGGATTGCTGCATGGTTATCCTTATTTTACAGCTAATGTCCCCTTCTAAGTGAGTACATACCATGTTTGTCTTTCTTGGTCTGGGTCTCCCCACTCAGGATGATCCTTTCTAGTTCCATCCATTTGCCTTTAAATTTCCTGGTGTCCTTGTTTTTAACAGCTGAGTAGTACTCCATTGTGTAAATGTACCACGTTACAACCTAGGTTGTTTCCAGGTTCTGGCTATTACAAATAAAAGCTGCTATGAACATAGTTGCACAAGTGTCCTTGTGGTATGATTGAACGTACTATGGGTATATGCCCAAGAGTGGTATCACTGGGCCTTGTGGTAGGCTGATTCCCAGTATTCTGAGAAACTACTACACTGATTCCAAAGTGGCTGTACAAATTGAACGTGAGTGATTATGTTGGGGGGCTTGGGGGTACTGAAAGAGACTACTGGAAAGGGAGGAGGGCATTTCGGGATCAGGTAGAAAACCTGGTGCAAGGGAATCTCCCAGGAAGGCCCCAGCTTAGGCTCCTGGCCAGTTCAGGATATTGCCATCTCCTGTGAACCAGATTGGTGCCTAGCCCAATTGTCATAAGATAGGCATCATCCAGCAACTGGTGGAAACAGATGCAGATCCACAGCCAAACATTAGGTGGCGTTGGGAAATCCTGCAGACAAGGAGGAGGGAGGATTGTAGGAGTCAGAGGGGTCAAGGACACACGAAGAGAACTCACAGAATTCTGGGACACTCAACCAACCTGGGCTCAGAGGGGCTCACAGAGACTGAACCAACAACCATGAAGCCTGAATGGGACTGACCAGGCCCTATGCATATATGTTTCAGTTGTGTAGCTTGGTCGTCGTGTGGGACACCTAACTGTGGTGACAGGGGCTGTATCCGACTCTTTTATAGGCTTTTGAGACCCTACTCATACTGAGTCACTTTGCCCAGCCTTAATATATGGAGAGGTGTTTAGTCTTACTGCAACTTGATATGCCATGTTTTGTTGATACTCGGGAGACCTGCCCTTTCCGAAACAGTAATGGAGGAGTGGATTAGCAGTGGGGTAGGAACAGAGAGGAGATGGGGGAGGGACTGGCAGCAGAGGAGGGAGGGGAAACAGTGGCTGGGATGTGAAATAAATTTATTTTAAAAAGTGCTAAGCTGAATGGTCAGGTGGGCCCTTGCCTGGAAGGTGCGTCTGAGCTCACACTGGAAGGAAGTGGAGTGCAGAGTTCAGTTCTCTGAGGGAATGGCCTAGACAGAGAGGATGGCCAGCTCAAAGGTCCTGTTAGCATCCCTGCAATGCTTGTGGAGTTGCTAGGAAGTCACTTTACAAAAAAGCAAAGATGGGAGAGGCAGGCTGGGCTGTGTTGGTGGTACAGGCCTTTAATCCCAGCAGAGGCAGGCAGAGTTCAGTGAGTTTGAGGCCAGCCTCAAAAGCTAATCCCACTACAGCCAGGACTGTTAACACAGAGAAACTGTCTTGAAAACCAAAACAAAAAAGAAAGAAAGAAAAGAGAGAGAGAGAGATGGGAGAGGCAGCTAGGCATAGTGACTTATGCCTATAATTCCATCACTAGGTAGGCAGAAGCAGGATTGTGAATTTGAAATCACCTTACATAGTGAGGCCCTGTTTCAGTAAGAAAAGAAAAGAGAATAGGAAAAGGTAACAAGGGCAGGAAGGTAGTGATGGGGCCAGGTGCAGGCTTTGTAGACCTTCAGGGGTTGAGAGTTTTTATAAATGCTACCGGGACCAATGGGAGGGTTTAGCACAAAGGAGCAGTGTGCTTTACCTTATGCTCTAAAAAGGATTAATTTGAGGGCTGGGGAAACATGTTCAAAGTGCTCGTGTCACAAACATGAAGACCTGATTCCAGATTCTCAGTATCCAAGTAAAAGCTGATTATAATGGTATGCAGCTGTAATCTGAGCACTGTGGAGATAGAGGCAGGAAAATCCTCTGGCTTTGCTGGCCTGCCAATCTAACCCAAATAGCTCCAGGTTTAGTGAGATCCTCTTTAAAACAACAAGGAAACAAGGTGTAGAGTCTCTCTCTCTCTCTCTCTCTCTCTCTCTCTCTCTCTCTCTCTCTCTCTCACACACACACACACA